CAGACAGCAGCTGCAGGGAAAAGCCTCAGCTTCTAAGGTCTTGAAGGAAAAGGACAGTTTGGCCACATACATATTCACACACACACACACATTCACACACACAGACACACATACATACACATAGGTATACACACCTACACACACATTCTCATACACATACACACACAATTAAACATCTCTATACTTATCTCTACTTAAAATATTTGTATACGTCCAATGAATATATATATGCTTTAAATATCTTTTTCTATATGCTGATATATGTATGTCTGTGTGCACATGTAAATTTGTCATGCATTTTCTTATCTTTCTCACTTATTTTACCCAATTCTTTCTCTCTCAAATATCTCTATAGATCAAGATTTCCTTAGTTAAAGTTAAATTTTATTTAATGTTCATTTATATATCATGTGTGTGTGTGTCTGTGTGTGTGCGTGCTTCACATGCAATAATTCCTGATCACCACACATACATGAATGCCTCCCTATGAGTATTAACACATAATAAAAGCACATCCATGCCACCAAGAAAAACATGTTAAAAATTACTTTGGTGAGCCTAGATTCTGGATGCCTGATCGTGGTATGGTTTCCTGCAGTGTATTTAACCAAACCCCGCTTCAGTATTAAGGAGCACATAAAACTAGAATCATATTTTCCTAGCAGACAGCTCTGACCTGAGGACTAAAGTTAAGGCATAACGACATAGTTTAGAAAAATAAATAATTGAGATTTTAAACAGAAGTAAATGCATATATATAATTTGGAATGCCTTAATTGCATTTTCCTATGCTAACATCACCAATTTGGGAGACATGAGATTCACAGTTTTAGGGTTAGGAGTCCCACAGTTTCTCCTCTTTCTAATTCACTCTCCACCAGACCTCCCTTAAGCACACACAACATTTCCTCCATAAGAGATGTTTTCTGAGCCGCATCGGCAGTTCCTAGTATCTGGAAACCCCTCTGGGTCACTCTTCCCCTCAGCACCTTTGGGCCACCTCCTGGGCGCTGATGTGCGGGACCCAAGCAGGCAAAGATGCTGCATTTTTGGAACCAGTCTATTCTGTTTCTTTGCCATGTTGTGGCAAGCCCCTTCTGTAAAGGGCCAGATAGTAAATATATTCAGCTCTGCAGGTCATGCGCTCTCTGTTACAACTCAGCGCTGCCATTGTAGGGCATGAATCATGGGCCATATGTAAATGAAGGGGCATGGCTGTGTTCCAATGACACTATTTCAAAAACAGGCGATGGGCCTGGACGTGGTCCACTGGCCATATCCCCAACCCAGCCATCCACCAACGTGGGGCGTTATCTCCTGATATCCGTAGGTCACTTTCCCATACGTCTAGCTGAGGTGCCTGGTGAGTATTTTAGAGCCCAGAGAAAGGAAACTCATCAGTGACTGTGCTCATACATAATTAGGTAGTGAAGCCAATGTGGTGATTGGAAGCTTCATTATTTGCTCACCTGATTTTATTCTCCAAGGATCTGTGAGTTCCTTGTGTGTCCTATTGATCACTGTCTCCCCAGCACCCCAGCACAGTGTCTGGCACATAGTAGGTACTCAGTAATGATGAAGAAACTTAAAAAAAAAAAACTAATTATAATCGAATTATAGTCAGGGAGAATTTAAAGTATAATATTCAGCCGGGCGCGGTGGCTCACGCCTGTAATCCCAGCACTTTGGGAGGCCGAGGCGGGTGGATCATGAGGTCAAGAGATCGAGACCATCCTGGTCAACATGGTGAAACCCCGTCTCTACTAAAAATACAAAACATTAGCTGGGCGTGGTGGCGCGTGCCTGTAGTCCCAGCTACTCAGGAAGTTGAGGCAGGAAAATTGCCTGAACCCAGGAGGCGGAGGTTGCGGTGAGCTGAGATCGCGCCATTGCACTCCAGCCTGGGTGACAAGAGTGAAACTCCGTCTCAAAAAAAATAAAAATAAAATAAATAAAGTATAATATTCATTCAACACTTTTTTAGAAAGTGATAACATCATTCTTGAATGGATAATGGAAATGTGGCTGTTATCTGGCTGTCAGATAAAACGATAATTTATGTTGGTCTTGCAAATGGATGAGGAGGAAGTGATTTCCTGGCCCACCCAAATTTGTTTCAAGCACTTGAATAGATGAGTGAGTAAATGGATGATGGCTTTTTTTTCAAACTTTCTTGGGTTTTCCTGAGGCACGGAAAGCTGGAGTCTTGCTTCTCTTTCCTTTTCCACCTCACAGCACACGTCATCTTTTGATCCTGAAATTTCTTTACCGCTAAGATCAGATAAAGCCTCAGAATCCTTGTCAACTCAGCTCTCTATGCAGGTACTCACAATTGGTCAAAGTTAACAAGTGCTATGAAATGTCTCTGTTATCCCGAAACCAAATGTTTTCTTGAGCATCTACTATGTGCTCAGCATACATTAGGTTGGGCAAGATTAACTCAAACTAGGGAGATAACAAGGAACTGTGGCATAGCCAGGGTTGTCAATGTAAGTGCAATGGGCACTCGGAGAGATCCCAAGACCTGGAATGCTTGGGAAGTAATGTAATAATGCCAATTCTTTGAGGACTCACTTTGTCTCAGGTCCTATGCTAAAGCTGTTATGTGCCCCACTGAATCATACAGCAGCCAATAAGGTAGGCCCCTCCCATTATCTGGAGGAGGAAACTGATGTTCTTAACATTCCTAGGAGCTGCAATTGGCACCCAAGCCTGAGGACATGAAGCCATGAAGCCAGGGGAGATGAACTCAGGTGGGTTCTTACAGATGCAGAGAGGAGGTAAACTAGTGGGCCTTGTAGGAAATGTAAGTTTTGTTGGAGAGGAATGTAATCTTTGGCCTATTTCATCAGCCTGAAATATGGGTGTATGTGTTTAAATGGTAGATGGGTGGGAGGGTAGATGAATGAATGGGTGGGGCCAGGTAAGCTAAATCATATAAAGTTTGAGGTTCGGCTGGTCGCTCTAAGGCTGGAAAGATACGATGAAGCCTAATTATGAAAGGCCTTGAATGTCAATTTTTAGAACTCAGATTTATTCTGTAATGGAAAATAGGGAGGCATGACAGTTGCAGTGGTAAAATTATTGGTAAGATGCTTTAAAAAGTGACTATGGTGGTGGGGTGCAGTTTCTCATGCCTATAATCCCAGCACTTTGGTAGGCCAAGGCGGGGGGATCACTTGAAGACAGGATTTCGAGACCAGTCTGACCAACATGGTGTAACCCCATTCCTACTAAAAATACAAAAATTAGGTGTGGTGGCGCATGCCTGTAATCCCAGATTCTCGGGATGCCGAGGCATGAGAATGACTTGAACCCAGGAGGCAAAGGTTGCAGTGAGCTGAGATCGAGTCACTGCACTCCAGCCTGGGTGACAGAATGAAACTTTCTCAAAACAAACAAAGAACAACAAGAATGATGACTATGGCCCCAGTGAGGAGGAACATGGATTAAAAGGACAGGCTGAGGGAACACAGCCCAGAGGGCTGACTGAGCACCAGTAATCCTATCAAGAAGAGCTGCACGTATATACCGGAGCTTACCCTGCACCAGGCGCCCTCTAAGTGCTTCACAGGTGTTCACTCCCTCAATTTGTGCAAGATCCTAAGAAGTAAGTGCATGTTTATCATCCCTGTGCTGCAGTGAGCAAGCTGATGTGCAGAGAAGCTAAGTAACGTCCCCAAGTTGGTGCTTCCAGTGGGCAGGTGGTCGAGCTGGAAGTCTCATGCGGCCGGGCTGGCTCCAGAGTCCAGACCCTTGACCCTGACAGCTTCCTGGTGGTCAGCCAGTGGTCTAGAAGAGGACAGGTATTGGACGGGCAGGAAGGAGGGCATGAGACATTTTATAGTTTCTCAGACCATTGACCCAGAACAGCACACTATTGCCCATGGAAGCTGAATGCGCCGCTGTTCTTGCATTGTGCCTTCCGGGGACACACTGTTGACCTGGACCCCTCAGAGAAACTCAAGAAGAGCCCCTGAAAGGCTGAAAAGCTCAGGTATGCAGGATTGTATACTTATTTATTAATAACTAAAAACAAAGAAACACTAGCATTTCCTTATAAATGTGAAATGCTAGACACTTTTCTAAATATTTCCCTGGTGGCCACCTACAGCCTAGCACAGGGCTTGGCACAGAGGAGACACTCCATACACATTCGTTGAATAAATGAATGAATGAGTGAATAAATGAAGGAGGGAATGAAGGAGCACTGTGCTAGGAGCCAGGGCCTCCGGGTCCAGTCTGAGCTTCTCCATCCCCTTGTTCGATGGAGTTTACACAAGTCGTGCCACCCTCTCTGGACCTCAGTTTTGGCCGAATGATAGGCAAGTGAGCCAGGGAATTCAAAACTTTGAAGGGCGCTGCGTGCATGAAGGCTCCTATTCCAGTAGCTCTCCCTGGGGTGAGGTGCAGCTCCCACCAAGCTCTCCTCCTCTTCCCCCTTTGTGGCTTCTATGGTGGTTTTTCCGCTTTGCAACAGGACACCAAATGGTTAATGCACCACCCATCATCTTTGATTTATGAAGTGGCCGATTGGACCAGGAAACACAGCAGAGACAGCCTTCTCACTTGCAGGGGAGACCCCAGAGAGCAGTAATTCTGTGCACAAAGGCGAGCGGTAGCCTGGAGCCTGAGTAGTGGTGGAGAGCCCACCCTGCCGAGCCTGTCCCAGGGACGATGCCAGGGCCCAGCATTTGCTCTTGCTCTGTGCGGGGACAGAGGCAGCTTTGTCACCTGGCCCCTGTCGTCCACCCAGCCCCGGAACCTCCGCTGCCCACCCTTTGCCCTGAGAACTGAAGTGCAGCCCTGCCCCGGTCACCGCTTAGCAGTTCCTTTCAGCGTCTGCCAATCTATCAAGATTCAGCTACCGCTGTGAACCCATCAACTCCATGGAAAGAAAAAAAGGAACCCTCACCACAGCAATTATTTATCCTGGCCTGAACTTCAGGTGACCTTTCCCAGGTCCACAGAAGTTGCAGATGGGAGCACCTTGGTGTGTAGGATTTTTTTCCCCACTGTGTCCTTTTAGAAAACATTTTTTTTTTTCATGACATGATCCTCTTTTGCAAAATGTTCTGTTGCAAAAAGATCTTTGGGTGGTCTGTAAGATCACAATGGGGTGGAACATTGGCCTACCTAGAGCACAGATTGGATGTAAAAGAATTCATCCAAAAATAAAATAAATAAAAAACAAAAACTGTGACCTCGTGGGGATGGCTTCAGAGGAGACCCGAGTGCAGCTCACCACAGGCCAGCTCAGCCCTCGGACATAAACAAGGGCTGTTCTGCACGACAGGCTCTGCCCTGACCCAAGGAGATCCAATATTGTAAACTCTGTGGGTGGGTGTTTGTGTGTGTCCCCGAATCAGAGAAAAATCCAGCCCATAATAAGGACTATGCAGGGTGTAACTCCCTGTGTAAATTTAAAGTGACCTAAGGGACATAATTACATAAATCTCATCATGAGACAATATACTTTTTATTTGTTTGAATTTTATTTGTATTGGTAAAACTGACCTGAAACTGACACAAGTTTATTAGAAAAAGGACTCTGTAAAAGCAAGTGGGCTGGTCTTCTTATTTAAGATGGATGTGCCACCTTCTAGTATGATTAGAGAAATGGATAACTCACTAACATCTGTGCAAACTACAATAAAAAGGGATTTAGTGTTACCCCAAGGAAGGCAAGAGAGGCTGTCTGTCCATTAAACGCTTTATTACAGCGCCAGCAGCTTTTTTCTAATTCAGTTATTCCTGCACAGCGTTCAGCACTCTGACTGCCTGTCAACCCACCAGACAGTGCTCGGGGCTGGGAGGTTTTGTGCAAGGTAGGTGACAATCAAATGAGCCACTGAGAAGAGAGGGGCGCCTGACCCTCGTGAAGGATTAACTACAGAAAGTGAGTGTGATCATGTCACACCATTACTTAGAATTTTCACAGTCAATTTCTGAAAATATGAGATAAGTTCTTAAAGAGGCAGTTGTCTCAGGAGCTCAGCAGACCTGGTGTGCTTTTGTTCCATGTGGCAGGACAGGGAGCTGGGAGAGAGAGTGGGGACTTCGAGGGAGAGGGAACAGGTGGCATCTGCACTGTGCCTATCTTGTGAAGGGCAGTCTAGAGCCAGGCCTTGGAGCAACTGGCTCCTAGGAACGCTGCGGCCAAGAAGGGAGAGGATATAGAGATGGCTTCTGGGGCCAGGATGCTGTTTATCCCTCCTCCACTGGATGCTGGACTCCAGCCTCTCCCGGGGTCATCTGGGTTGATCAGCATGAACGTTTGGGGATCATATCAAGCTTTGGGGTCACAGGAAGCCTGTCTAGGGCAGTCGAGATGCCAGTGCCAGGATGAAATGCCCTTCTTCCATTATCCCTTTTCACCCCTGCAGCTGCTACAACCAATATCATCATAAGCTTCTCCAGAAGACTACATGCCCCTGTGGCATGCAAAAAGATCCAGTCCCACAGGACCTCACAAGCCATGTGCTTAAAAAAATGTATTGTAGGCTCAACGCAAATATACTTGAAATATATATTTCAAAGCCTGGCACAGGTAGACGACAGTTCAAGGAAGCATGGCACATTTTAGGGTTAGAGATGAGTCTATCCCTCATTAATAGAGGGATAACACAAAGAGGGGCAGGCTCCACCCAGAGCACAAACAATCTTTGGAAGTGGAGCTGAGACCAGAGCCCCACGCCCCCGATCCCCAGACCAACAGAAGTTATGCTCTGGTGGCTTCACGCAGTAGGGCTTTTTGAAAAGATGGACAGGAAATGTGATTTCTTCCTTTGCATCTATATATTTAAATGAGAAAAGTAAACCACAAACCTCTAAGCTTGGTTCTGCTAAAGTAATTTAACATCTGCTGCCACCTGAATGTAATTGAAACAATTCATTATCAAATTTACTGATCTGCTTAATGATTTTGTATTTCTCTTTCGAAATCACCTTCCTCCCAAGCTAGCCTAGGTAAATTACCATTTCCTTCAAACCTGAGAGATTGAAGGGAGCTGTCAGCACATCCAGTTCAAGCCCCCTCACTTTAAAGACGGTGTGACAGCGGTTTGTGAGTTGGTGGTGACTGTGCGGACCTTTACTGAGGTCACAGAGCAAGTCCAGCAAGACTTGAACGCAGCCCGCTAGAATCTCACCCTTGTCTCATTCCAAGATTGTGTGCTGAGGGTTTTCAGCTGCATCTCTAAAGGGGAGGCCAAAGAAGGTGCAACAGGAAGGGATGACAAAAAGGGGGTGGAAAGGAAGAAGGAAGAAGAAAAAAGGGAAAATAGCAAGCTCCCTTTCCAGAGCTGCACATTTTTTATGTTTGCTCAGTGGCAGTCTGTTAAAGAAATACTTCATTGTCACTGAGCACAGAGTCATTAAAGGCACCTTGGAAATTTGGACCCTTTTACTAGAATCAGGGCTTAAATAGCAACTTAATTTATGACACTTCTCGAGGCTGATGGCATTTTTGCTCTAAGGTAAGGTCATCTCAGTATATACCCCTCCCATCGCTTCCCTTTAGAACACGCAGAGGCGTTTCCTCTTTACTTTCAAGTTACTGATTATTCAACTGCTCAAATGTAAGTCACATATGTATGTAGGCACGTTTGAGTCCACGGTGTGTTTCTAAAAGAGAGCTCTTTTATATCTGCCTGTAAAAGAGGAGAGCGCAGAGAGGGGGGAAACCCACAAATAAGCATGTGAATAATTAGATCACAGATAGATGCCACCTTTTCTCAGCGTTAAAACTGTGAGGGGAGAAAGTATTCGTGCCTAATTGACATAATTGATCTAGTATTTTTTTTCCTTTTTGCTGCAGTAATTTTTATGCATGCCATTGTTGCTGTTATTATCCAAGATGTGATCTTGTGTGGTTGATAATACAGACTAGATATGAATACCCGTACGCACCAGCCAATCGCAAATCTATAGTGTCTATTTCTGCATCACCAGGTGCTATCTCATGGGAAATATCCTCTTTTTTGGCAGGCACACAGAGCACTGCATTATCTGTCATTTTCATTAGATTGAAGCTACAGCTGGGCCAAAAAGACTTAGTTCTAGCATATGTGCTCAAAATGGCCAAGCTGCAATTGTCCAAATTCACCCTTTCAGGATTGCATTACCGAACAACTGGAGCTAAACCCAGAAATTGGAGAGAGCAAAGTGCCTGAATTCCACTTGGAAAATGGCAAACACCATAATCTCTGAAGATTGAAGCTTATTATCATGACTAACTCTAAAGGGTCAGAGGAGGCACTAGCTTCCACCAGCAAGCTCAACGTCTCTTTTGGCACATCTTACGCAAGGATGGAAGCCGCATAGAGCCTAGATTTTGACACCACTTAACAAAGAAAAGCCAAGGTCTTTCACTGCCCTCTGTGCCTTTCGGTATACTCTGGCCTTGTGGAATGCGGTAGGTTCCGCTCCCAGGTCTTACCCTGGGCCAGCCAGTTTTGAACCCCATGGGACGTTGTCTGTGACCTGCTACATACTGGGATAGTCTGGGGTGTATAAAAAGCATCTCATCGTGAGGGATAAAAGCATGCAACTGTCATAAGCTTAAGTCGCCATGAACGTCTCCACTATCTTACACATTCAATCCTTTATGTGAACATGTGGAGAGGACATATCGAAAAATTATACCCGGAAAGAAATAGATACAAAAATCCCCACTCCAGGGTGCTGGAAATGGGAGAACCACAGGGCTGGGGAACATAGTCACCACCCCGTGGACTTCATGTTATTTGAAGCAGACATTGACAAAGAATAAAAAATATATATGTATACAAGGAGACACTGGTTGTTCAAGCACAGAAAAAGCCAAAGTCCAATGGGAATGTAAAATAGTGCAGCCACTGTGGAAAGTGTATGGGGTTACTCAAAATATTAAACATAGAATAACCATATGACTCAGCAACTCCACTATTGGGTCTATACCCCGAAGAATTGAAAAGATACTTGTTCACCCCTGTTCATAGCAACATTATTCACAATAACCAAAGTGGAAGCAACTCAGGTGTTCATGGGTCGATGAATAAATAGGCAAAATGTCATCGAGACAAAATAGAACAGCACTCCCAGGGGCTGAAAAGAAGGGGGAATTGACAATGACTATGTAACGGGTACAGGGTTCCAAGTGGGGAAGATAAAAGGATTCTAGAGATGGATGGCAATGCTGGTTATACAACAATATGAGTACACTTAATGCCACTGAGTTGTACACTTAAAAAATGGTTAAAATGGCAAATGTCTCATTACATGTGTTTTACCACAGTGAAAAAAATAGCAGGTTTGTATCTGTTCCTAGAGACACAGCCTCCCTGAGTCTGTACCAAGCAATACCAAGCAATGCTATGATCTTCCAGAATGCCATTAAGAGTGAGCCCTTGGTCATGTGTCCTTTGAGTGATATGCAAAGTTCCAAAGACAGAAGGAATATCTGGGATTTGGTTATGAGGATCTATGCTGAGAATTGTCTCAGGTTTTGATGCCAGGTTGGAGACTTCACACACCATAGTGGCAGGGGATTTCTGCAGGGAGGAGTCTGCGGATGAACCCATTTTATGGATTCTGGCATCTTATCCATGGAGAACAGTCAGCTGTTTTTCATCTGCACTGCTAATAGGGTCTAGCTGAATGGCTAACAAGCAAGATGAAATGTAGCATGAATGTTTTGAAAGCCATGGAGCCTCACTTTGGGATCAGGAGTAGCAAAACTAGTGAGAAGGTCACTGTTGCTGAGTGGGGACAAATGTGATGAGTGCTGGGAGCTTAAACAACAGGGATGTATTTTCTCACTTGCAGGAGGCTGCAAGTCGGAGATCAGGGTGACAGCATGATCAGGTTCAGGTGAGCGCTCTCTTCCTGGCTTGCAGACAGGCACCTCCTTGGTGAGTCCTCACATAGGGGTTGGTTGGGGAAACAGAGCTCTGGTGTCTCTTCCTTTCCTTATAAGGGCACTAATCTTATCATCATGGCTCCACCCTCATGACCTTATCTAAACCTAATCGCGTCCGAAATGTCCCATCTCCAAATTCCATCATGTTGAGGTGTAGGGCCTCAAGATATGAATTGTGGGCTTGGAGGAACCTACATTCAGCCCTTAACAAATGTGACCCTTCACCAAACCATTCTTCCTGCAGCTAAACAGAGCATCCCACACCTACATGCTCTTGGGTCCTGTGGTCCATCTGTTCTCATTAGCTGTAATTCTCTGGGTTTCATATTTCCTTCACACCCCTCCAAGTCCAGCTAGACTCCAGCATCAGCTTATGAACAGAAAATTAAAAGTAACCTGCAAAACACCTGATTTGAAAAGATGTTTCCCCACAGGGGCCCTGTTGTCCATTAATTGCAGTGCTTTGAAACAAAGTAAATATTTTTTCGTTATTAAAAGAATTTCTTCTTGCATTTTCTTTCCATTATTATCCCATTAATGGAAACGAGGTAAAGCAATCTGAAAACATTTGAGAGAATGTTTGAGAGAATATACAAACAAACTTTCAAACTGTCTTTCAGCAAGTGAGGCTAAAGTTATTGAATATGCAAATTGCCTTATTAAAAGAAGAATGATGTCTTTTTCAGCAATCAGTTTAATTACAGTGGAACCCTTCAGTGGAGAAATCAACTTGTTTCTCGGAGTAGAAATTCTTTAGAAAGGGAATTTAGGTACAACAGATCAAAATTAGAAAATGTACACTTGGTAGGAAAAATTGTCTATGAGGCGGTTAGGGAGGAGGAAGAGAGATGCTAGTGCCCCGCTTGGCAGCCTTGCCTGGGTCTCTGAGCCCCAGGGTATTTGTTCGCCATTGTCCTGCTCTAAAGCTTGAAGACAGTGTTACCAAAATGCCAGGGGTTTGGTCTAGATCCAGTCACTCGCTACACAAAAAGCCAATCACTGAGACAACGAGTATTGCCAGGGAAGAAGACTTTATTCAGATGGTACAGCCCATCTGAATCAGATGAAGGAGATGGGAGATGAGTCCCAAATCCATCTTCCCAACTGATTCAAGTTAGGGGTTTATATAACAGGGAAGAAATGTAACTATATGTGTGAAAACTGAAATGAGGGATTGGTTTGGAACCTCACCGTCTGGATATGGTGATACTATCCAGAAGCCTGATAATTAGTTTCTTGAGAAAAGGACTCAGATCAGACAAAGATAAGTTTCAAGCTGTAAGACAGGGAGGGTTTATTCAAAAAAGGAAAAAAGAAGCCCATAAACCTCAGTTCTATGGGACAATTAGGTCTGTTTCTAAAGAAAAAATAGAATGGCCTATAAAAGGTAGTTATGCCCAGTAACTAAGGCCTCATACTCCCTGTGGGGTAGGAGTGGATTTGGCAGGATGGGGCCCATGTGCACCAGGACCAGAATTAATGTGATGTCGGTATTGAGAAGGCCTTCCATCAGAGCCCTGTCCGTTCTGCCCTAGGGCTTTCCCTTTCCCCACAGAGGCCACACAACATTCCCTGCCTGGTGTCCCATTTCCCCAAAGTCTTCTCCCCATTCAGAGATCAGAGATGTGGGTAACCATGCAAGTCTCTCCTCAGTGAAGACCAGATTTTCTGCTCATTCCAGATCTTATAGGTCTGTTTTAATGGAGGGTCCCACGGTGGCAGGGGGATGCTGGTGCTTCATGAGACACAGAAACAGCTATGACAACTAAGGAAGACCTCTGGAGAGGCCTGGTCCAAGGTACACTTCACCCGTGTTCCACCCTCAGCTACCTCCGTATCACAGTACCCATGAAAGGGTAGCCGACCGGGATTTAGGGCAGAGGTTTGAAGTCACACTTCCTGGGTTGGTCCTCTGCTACTGGGAACATCGACTTAGTGACCACCAGCAAGTTGTTCGTCCTCTCTACGCCTCAATGTGCTCATCTGTAAAACGGGGGAGATAACACTGTCTGCTTGATGGGATGGATTTGAAATGTACAGAGAAAATCAGGCAATAATTTGGTGTAATATTTGTCCCATTGCAAACACAATTCCTTCAATAGTCGTGGTGGCAGTAGCAGTAAAAGTCTCCCGTGTACACTCCAATGCATTGTTACCTTAGCTTTCACACAAATCTGAAATGCAAAACATGAAATTCACACATACTCAAGAAATGCCCCGGCAAGTGTTCCTTCAGTGAACTTCAAATCCTTCAGCAGTGAACACACACCAACAGTGAACAAGGCTGGGAAAACAATCCCTGTCCTTTACCATTCTAGTGGAAAGACAATACATAAAAATCGTCATGAACATATAGATCATATTTTATTTCAGAAGTATTTGCAGGGAACAGAAGAATAGAAAAAAGTACATTGGTCAGAAGACCTGAAGCAAGCTAAGCAGCTGGCAGCTGCTATGTAAATAGGATGAACAAGATCAGGCTCATTGACAGGAGGCTAGGGGAAGAGTATCTTAGGAAGGGAGTCAAAGGCCCTGGGGCAAAAGTGGCCTTGACCTGTTCCAGGCACAGCAGCAGGTCAGTGGGAATACAAGAAGGGAGAAGCAGGAGTTGGAGAAAAAGCCCAAGACAGGGACAGAAAGGGGTGGGGCTAGTTTACATAGCATCTCACAGCCGCCATAAGGGCCCTGGCTTATGCTTAGGTGAAATGGGGGTCCTTTGTAGGTCTCTTGAGCTGAAAAGTAGTATTAATTACCTGACTCTTATTTGAAAAGGAAGACCCAATGACTGTGTTGTGGGTCACTTGGGATGGGGCACACATAGCCTGGGGGTGAGGGACCAAGCTGGTAGCAGCAGTTGTGGATACGAGAATATTCTACGTGTAGAAATATTCTAAAAGCAATCCAACAGGTTTACCTTGCAGATTAGATGTGGGGTCTGAGAGCTAGAGAGGAGACAAGATGACTTCCAGATTGCGTTTAATTAATGCAAAGTAGTTTGTAAACAAGGAATCCCTGACTACCTTGTTTGTTGTGAAAAACAATAAATCTCCATTTACTCTCAATTGCTAAGCTCTTACCTGTAGTGTTTAACTCAGTACAACAGACTATACTGCACATTTTTAAATGAGGTCACGTTAAGAATATGTCATCTATGCCTCAGGTGAGGAATGTGCTCAGATGAGGACATTCTGGGCATCAAGTGGTAAATGGAAAGCACTCGGAAATATTTTACTTCTGTCTGTTTCTTGAGCAAATATCTTCCCATCCCAGGACATTTGCACATGCTATGGTTTGCACCTAAAATTAAGACCTTTGAACATCTGGCTATTTCTCCTCATCAGCTCAATTATTCCTTCCAACCTGGCCACTCTCCCCCACCAGATCCTGTTATATTAGTCGAGGTTCTCCAGAGAAGCAGAACCAACAGGATACATAGATGTAAACAGATTTATCATACGGAGCTGGCTCCCTGTAGTCCCAGCATTTTGGGAGGCTGAGGCAGGTGGATCATTAAAGTTCAAGAGTTCGAGACCAGCCTGGCCAACATGGTGAAACCCTGTCTCTTCTAAAAATACAAAAATTAGCTGGGCGTGGTGGTGTTCCTGTAATCCCAGCTACTCAGGAGGCTGAGGCAGGAGAATGACTTGAACCCAGTAGGTGGAGGCTGCAGTGCGTTGTGATCAGGCCATGGCACTCCAGCCTGGGAGACAGAGCAAGACTCTGTCTCAAAAGTAAACAACAACAACAAAAAAGAATTGGCTTATATGACTATGGAGGCTTGGAAGTCCCCAAATGTGCAGTCAGCAAAGGGGGAGAGCCCATGGGGTAACTTCAGTTTGAACCCAAAAGCCTGAGGACCAGGAGAGCTAACAGTGTAAGTTCCAGTCTCAAAGCCAGCAGGCTCAAGACCCAAGAAGAGCAGATGTTTTAGCTCAAGTCCAAAGACAGGAAAAGATCAGAGTCCCTCCCTCATCAGTCCAGCAGAAGGAGCTACCTGTTCCTCCTGGGAGGTCAGCCTTTTTGTTCCATTCAGGTCTTCAGTTGACTGGATGGCCACCCCACCCCACATTGTGGAGGACTGCCTGCTTTTCCTAGCCTAGTAATTTAAATGCTAATCTCAGCCAGAAACACCTTCACAGAAAGATCCAGAAAAACATTTGACCAAAAGTCTGGGCATCCATCATTTGAGGCACCAAGTCACATCAAATGAACCATCGCACCTGGTTATTTGGATACATATCAACCCTTTGTGTCAATATTTTGTGATTTTACCTTAGTTATTTATCTGCCTATCTATTTATGTGTTTTTCTTCTCTGTATCACATCCACCAGCTGTTTCTTGAATTAATGAAATGGTGAATAAATGAAAATGTTCAGGGGGTGATTTGAGATCTAGGAAAGAGAGGCATGGAATTTGCTGAGGCAAGATGACATGGGCCTAGAGGGGAGCGGGTACTTGATGAGAACCAGAAGGAGCCAGGGGCTGAACAGGAGTGGGACTAGGAGAGGGATTGGGAAGAAAGTAGACTGGATGAGATCAAACCTTATGGGAATAAACAAAAATCCACCTCTGACAGCCAAATCCCCCCTGCATGCATTCTGGCTTTTATTTTTAATCTGGGACAAAACATCCCCTGGCCTGACCCCTCTGCTAGGGTCCCACACAGCAAATCAAAGCCCAAACAGCGCGGGTCCCAGGCTGGGCTTCCCTGAGAAAGTGAGGAGGGGAAATGAGCCTTGCGGTCTCACCCCAGCCCTGGAAGGCCATTTGTCTGCAGGATAAAGGGGCCAGGCGATAGCCCAGTTCATCATGACTGGCAAGGCTGCCCCAAGAGGCCCAGAGTTGGAGAGACACAGGTCAGTTTCCTGCACAGACAGGCAGTCCTCGGCCAGGAATTCTTACGTTACACTTTCCTGCTGGCACATACGGCTTTGTGTGTTGTTGATCAATTTTAATGAAAAAATAAAATAAAATGAAATAAAGAAGAAGCTGTCTTCAAGTGTTAAATGTTATGTGCATAAATCTTGCTAAAACTGTGAAGAGAAATACCCCTATATAGGACTTAAGCTAAAATCATCTCTCCCAAGTTGTCATGTTTTTAATTTGTTTGTGTTTTTTACACATTTTAGATAGAACAATTGGTTTCAGAGGCACTGCTCCGATGAACCTTCCTCTAGGGACTCTGTGTGGAGAGTTCTGGTGGGATTGAGGCGCGTGGTCAGGGTTAGATTGGGTCTCAGAGGCCAGCACGAGGGTGACATGAAGGACAAGGTTTCTCCTTGGCGGGGTCTTCAGGAAAGGGGGCACAGCCTGGGGAGGAGAAGGAGGCTCTGGCTCGGGTCCTTGGTGGGTGCAAAGGGGCAGGAGTGCCTAAGGGGCAGGAGTGCCTAAGGCACAGGGCCTCAGATGGGATAGTTGTGTGTCTGGTCTCTGTGGTTCTGGGTGGAGGTGGCCAGTGGGGCCCTGGCCAGGAGCAGCGGGGGCGTGGTGAGCATTCTTCCTCCATCCTTCTGTCCCTGCACACTGCAGGCCTGGCTGGTATCAGCCTCTACTGAGCCCCGCATATGTGCCTAAGAGTTGGGGAGGCTGTGGTCTGGGAACCAAGAAGATGGAGATACAGCCCCGCCCCTAGGAGCCTATGATCATCACTCCTCTATCAAATGAGAGAAGGCTCACTCAGAGTCAAGGAAGAGAACCCCTTGAGGGGCTGCAACTTGGGTCTGTGGGGAGAGCTGTATGTGGGCTGAAGGAGGAGGAAGCCCCCTGGGGTTGGGGGCACCTCAAGTCAGTCTTCACAGTCATAAAAAGTGAGGGATCTCGAGGCAGGTGGTGCAGACGGAGGCATGGCCGGGTGGTGAGAATAACCCAGCCCAGGGGACAGCCAGAAGAGAGACCTGGCTGGCCCCACCAGCAGAAGCCTTCTAGATCCATCTGGACCAAAGGAGGTGGGAGGCCATGTTGGAGAGGAGAAGTGGGCACATGTTTCAGAGTTGACAATCAAGTTTCTAACTTTCAAAGATGACTTTGGAACATATAGTTGGAAAAGAACTCAGATGAGTTGGTGAGAAATGATCCAAAAGAAAAATGGAGAAAGATATGAAGAGGTCCTTTACAGAAGTGAATATCCAAACAACCCATGAACCTATGAAAAGCAGCTCAACCTCATTAATCATCAGAGAAATGCAAATTTAAACCACAATCAGCCCAGGCATGCTATTTCATGCTTGTAATCTCAGCACTTTGGAAGGCCGACGGGGGAAGATCTCTTGAAGACGGAAGTTTGAGACTGGGCAACATAGCGACTCCAGCTCTATAAAATAAAAATAAATTATCCAGGCATGGTGATGCACACCTATAGTCCCAGCTCCTAGGGAGGCTGAGGTGGGAGGATTGCGTGAGCCTAGGAGGTTGAAGATGCCATGAGCTGTGATTGCACCACTGCACTTTAGCCTGAATGACAGAGAGAGACCCTGTCTCTTTAAAAAAAAAGAATCGAAGAAAAAAACGCACACGCACAATGAGATACATCCACACAAACTGGCAAAAGTGGAAAGACAGAAAGTACCAAAAGCTGACAAGAACCTGGAGCAAACAGGGCTCTCATGCCTTGCTGGCAGAATGGAAAGTGGTAGAACCACTTTGGAAAACAGGCAGTATCTGCCACGTGTACCCTCCACCCTGGCCATGCCACTTGTAAGTGCCTGGCAGGAGTATGTGCATATGGGGCCCTTGGGTTGCTGTGAGCAACAAAAGAGAACATTCCTGCCCTATCCCAGCACACTTCCCAGCAGCATGGTGTAGAATTGCTGTAACCTGGGACCTATCCTTGCATCCCTCAGTAGGAGGATGCATCAGTGAACCACGGGGCCGTCACACGGTGGGTTACTGCAGGCGTGCTGTACTTCAAATTCAACATTTCTGAAAATGACTTGGATTTGGGAGGAGTGAGATGTGCTAAGTTCTCCTGTGCTCCAAGGAGTTGGAGGGGAGGCACGATAAGAGGATGGCCAGCAGGCCAGTGTCAGCACAGCTGCCCTCCCTCAAGGGGCCCCACGGGGATCTCCATCCCTTGCCTTCCCAGCCTTGGGGCTGCCGGCCGTTTGCAATGTTCCTTGGCTTCCAGCCCATCTCTCCAGTCTCTATTCCACATTCACACGGCCTTCTCCTCTGCATGCCTTTGGGTCTCCTCTCCAGCTGCTTCTCTCTTACAAGGATATTTGTGTTTGCATTTAGGGTCCACTTGGAAAATCAGGATGAGCTCCTGCCTTCAGCATCCCTCACTTAAATCCCAGCGTTTGCTGTATAAGGTAACAGTCAGTCACAGGTTCTGTGGGCTGGGAAGCAAATAGATCTTTGGGGGTTGCTTTTTCTACCCGTTTGTCTGCTGACCACAGCTATAATACAATAACTTGAGATCTCAGGACAGGAATATTCTCTTTTGATGCTCACAGTAACCCAAGGGCCAGGTGCTATCATTGCCCCATTTTACCGCACAGCGCAGAGAGGGAAGGCGGGGACAGAGCTGTGACATCAACCTGATGTTCACAATGAGAATAAGACAAATGTTTAGGGGCTCCTGTAGTCCACCTTCTGGCCTCCCCTCCTGCACTTTTGTAATCAAACACCACAGACTGGGCATTGGTGGCCAGAAGTGTAGACAATGGAGGCTAACAGGCCTGGGTTTAGAGCTGCCTCAATTTCCTCACAATGTCAGCCTCACAGCAGGGACAGCCTGAGCATGAAAGGAAACAACATATGAAGGCACTTAGCTCAGGGCTTAGCAAATACTAAGCTTCCCATTGATAATAGGTATGATCATTCTTTTTGTTTAATTGAACAAATGTTTCCCAATCCCTCCTGCATGATAAGCATGAGTGGTAGTCACAGTTTGCAGAGAGAGCTGTCAGCATCTCCTGGCTACTGGGACTAGCTGGAATGATAATTGTATTCAGGGCAAATGTCAGTTGTTCCTCATCCACACCCCTCCGTCATGCCTGCTTGCCACTAGGACATATCCAGAACAGTCCGTGTTAAATGTTAGCATAAGGAAGATGCTATCTGCCTGGTGCCGTGGCTCATGCCTGTAAGGGAGGCCAAGGTGGGAAGATCACCTGTGGTCAGGAGTTCAAGACCTGCCTGGCCAACATGTTGAAACCCAATCTCCACTAAAAATACAAAATTAGCCTGGTGTGGTGGCACATGTCTGCAATCCCAGCTACTCAAGAGGCTGAGGCAGGAGAATCACTTGCAACCAGGAGGCAGAAGTTGCAGTGAGCCTAGATTATGCCATTGCACTCCAGCCTGGGCGGTAAGAGCAAAACTCCATCTCTTAAAAAAAAAAAGAGAGAGAGAAAAGATGCCCTCATCCCTGCCTCTCTCTCTGCAGGAATTCACAGGGTGACAGGTGCAGAAGGAAACTGTGCTCCAGATGAGAGGTGTCATCAGAAGGCTGTCATCTGGACCTTGGAGGAAGGAGAGGTGAGTGGTGCCTCCTGTAGGAGATAATGCCTGAGCTGAGTCCTGGAAGATGCAAACACCAGGTGCTTGAGTTTCAGGTGCCAATACCTGAAAGTTGGCTAAAGAAATGTGCACCTATACCTCTGGGGAAGATGGTGGTGGAAATCAGGAAACATAGAGGTTGATGACAGAGCAGGAGACCCAGACTGGAGAAGACATTGATGATTATGATGATGATGATGATGATGAGTGTGATGGTTGAATGGTCAGGGTCCTAGTGGGAAACACAGGGCACACCCAAGGGTGACTGGAGAGCTTCCTGACAGGACTATTCATAACAATGGGAAAAGGGACTAATGGAAAACAGCAAGGGATGTTGAAAGACTCCAGGGCTATCAGCAGCAGCAACCTCTATCACCCTGAGACCTGAAGGGTCAGGGAAGGTGAAGTGACCAGAACCCAGAGAGAGCTGTCCAGTGGAAGAGGTCATCTGATAACCTTTGCCAGGAGAATACAGCCACTGTCAATGGCTATAATTGACAGTGGCCCAGAAGAGAGAAAGCCAGGGAACAAATACTCTGACTGTCTTCTGATATCCTTCTCTTGTAGCACTCCCAATTAGCCATTCCCAACTAGAAATCAAACAGTAAGAGAGCCCATGGATAAAGTCCACATTGGCCAGCTGCCTGGGGTACAAAGCAGCGTGGAGGAAGATAGAAAGCAGATCTGGAGGGGCAAACAGAGAATCTATCCTCGTGATGAAGACAATGATGATAGTGGTGGTAACAGTGATAACTGTGGTGATGGTGATAAGAATGATGATGGTGGCAGTGATGGCGGTAGTGAAGATGGTGGTAATGATGGTGATCATGATGGTGATGATAATGGTGGTGGTGATGACGATATGATGGTGGTGTAACGATGATCATGGTAGGTGGTGCTGGTGTTGATGGCACTGGTGGCAGTAGTGATGATGGTGGTGGTGGTGACGATGATGGTGGTGGTGGTG